TGATATGGTAATGGGTTATTTTTTGTTCTAAACGTTTTCATAGAGCAAGTAAAACTTAAAGGGCGCTGTAACGGTCTGATAAAATAATTAACTACCAATAAAGAACGGACATGACTATACATACAAATTAATATACATAATCGTTTAAGCTTTAAAATAATATTTTGCAAACGTTTGCCTGTACAGTATTGTTTAATAAAAATGGAGCATGACATCCTGTTGAATAAATATATTTTTTATTTTTTATTTATGAACTAGAGAAGAAGTGATTTATTAGTTTTCCTTGTGACAAAATACCTGACATATGTGAGTTTTAATACACGGGCACTGCACACATACTGCTATGAATTTTGCAAGTTGTGTTTGTAAGAAACTGATGCATAACGCGTATATATGTATACATATAAAAAAAAGTTATGCAAAATATATGCCGGTCGAATACTATTGCGAGAGCCAATTGATTTATAAATATAAAATGAAAACTACTTAATGGAGAAAATGGGCGTATTGGCATGCGTGCTAGTTTTGTTTTTTGATGGCCTGTCGCTTATTTATAGGTTTACAAATCCTTTATAGTTATATATATATAGTAAGACCCATGACTGTTGATAATTCAAACAATTTTCAGTTTAAACGTTTTATTTCTGTTAAAAAAAAAATACTAATAAAAAAATCTATATCTCATTAAAAGCTTTATTGGGGTTTTATAAAACATGTATACAGCGATTGTTTATATGGGTTGAATGAATTTGTCTGAGCACGGACAATGGACATTTGAAGACTGCAATGGTCATTCTGGGTCATACTTATTACTGGCTACTGGCTAATATATTGGCAAGCTATATCGATTGTCGACTCACGTTTATATATTTACTGAAATCAACCTACAACATAATCGACCGTGGAGGGACTGTAGAAAATTCCCAACAAACTATTGATAGCTGACTCATTGGCGATTAGTAACGAGTAATATTTTCAAAGACTAATAATTTCCTGCATTCGACTGCAGTAAACATTTAACGGTCCAAAAATAATTTCCCAAGGTTTTCCAATATTTTCATGTGTAACCTTTTTTAGAATTTGTCACAACCGTATGTGTAAAATACAATGCGTTCAATTGATATTTCTGTACATTGACAGGATTGACTCATAATTTCAGGAAGGCCTAAACTTCAGTAAAAGTAAGAATATTTTCTATAAAACCTAAACTATTAAATGTATTTAATATAAGTAAAGTACACTAAAAAACATACTAACTTCAATGCAAACAGTTTGAAGGACCTACAGAAATATTTGAGGGAGAGGGATGTAATAAGCCTCTCCATTTCCACCTAAGTTTTTAAGCATATTCCTCCCAAGACACGGATACTTAGGTATGTAATCAAGTTGAACAAGATTCATTGTGTTTTTAGTATGCTGATAAAAGTCTTGTTGGACAAAAGCGAATGGAATTAATTTGTTTATTTTTATCGCAATTTGCATTAGAATACCGGAAACGTGTCGGAACTAGGTCTGGTCCTACTTGACTATTATTATTATTATTTACATAAAATTCAAACGGATTACCCGCGTTGGCATGTCTGACATCAATGAGACCGAAGTAAAATACACTAGAAGACAATTTAAGACATGCTTGTTTTTTAATTCCGTTTTGGCTGCGAGCCACTGCGAGCCTTGAACCGATGTAAAATAATAATAATAATAATTAAAATATGCATATTCGTATTGTGTCTGGGCTAATAAATTAAATTTTGAATACACCGCTTGACACAGACAACAATCGAGAGTGTGTAACGTTACAGGATGGCTCATGTTCATGTTCTGTGTACTTGTGTTTGACAATTATTATCAATAAGGTGGTAAACGAGGGAGGCACCTTAATCTTGGGACTAAATAAACATCCCCAGAGTCCACGGTAGTCCTATGTTTTTGTATTTTATGTATATACCGACGGAGTACCTGTTTAAAAAAAAGGTGTTAAACCTGTGACCTTAGCACATAGAAAGTCTCTCTATACTTTACAGGGACCATCGATAATTCCCCTAAAAAAAAAAACACAGCAATTAGTCTTGCCCCGAGTCACTGTCACTGTCAGTGAGTCCATTACTGGCGCCAATATAATGTACCAGCCAGTGCTAGTAAAGGCCGACCTTTTACCCAACAACTTTTGCCAGCCTTTTTGGCAACAGTCGCAGGCTTGCATCGTTAAAACTAATTTTTTTAGTTAATTTCACTTGTTGTACACATGTATCGTGTCATGATGTGCTATACGTTTTATTATCCTACAACTGTAATAATTTGGCTTCTTGTCCGGTAAAAAACGATTAAAATTATTATTTCAGCTTCGATGCGGATTCTCTTATTTATATACTACCATTACAAAAACAAATTAAGCTGTAAAATCATTTAAATGAGACGTTTACATTTTTTCTCAGATTCTTTTGTCGTTTGTTCAATGCATTAAAAAAGTCACAAGACCCGTTTAAGAAGATTTAATCTTAGGCGTGAGAAGCTGTGCGTTTGAACTTAGTATTATTATTAATTGAGTCACGAAATTGCCTTTGTAAATACACATTGTGGAGTCTGCCCAACCATTATTATTATTCATAAACTTGCATGACCGTTTACCGAGTCACAAAGCCTGGCTTTTATTGAAAAGTTTTCAATGTTAATATTCTTTTGGGTGTATCGGTATTGTATCGAGTTATCCAAAGGGACGCGATTTTACATTTAACGACTGTTTAAATTAAATTATTTATAACAGTAGTAATAGCTAGTTGGTTCCATAACTATTAACTATAGTCTATAGTCTCATGTGAAAACGTTTAACACCATACAAAATGCAACATCATATTCATCTCAAACCACGAAGGCGGCTAATTAAATAGGAATGCTGTAAAGGAACGTCATATTCCAGTAATAGTTCCCCAAATCAACAAACAAAAAATTATGTTTTATTTTTCTTTATGTAAGATATAACATTTGAAAAAAACTCAATGCTAATGAGAATGTATTGGTCAGGTGTTTTTTATATAAACTAAGCTTATATTTAAATATAGAAAACCGTTAAGTAACAATATTCAGTCTAATAAATAAACCTATTAGTTGAAAGTTGGAAACATTATAATTTAATAATGGTTTTCAATAATTATAATTTATTGCTGGCCGAACGATGCCAGAGCTTTATTGTTTAGCTGTTATATGTTTGCACAATGTAATTGCATAACTGTTTGTGGTTTTTTTTTAAAGTATGATTTTTGTTTGTCACGCCAAGGCAATTCAGTTGTACATTTTCTATATAATTTTCATGTCACGCGGTGAATTTTGTTTGCTGGAAACTGTAATTTGATTTATGGTTCATTTTTGTTAATCGCCGTTCATTTACTGCCGTCCACCACAGCAATGTTCGGTTGTCAAAGGCGTTTTTGAAAAATTCATTTCAAAACGAATTCCATAGAGTGTACTTGAAAATATTTGAAGGCCAAAAACGCCCCCGTCACTGTAAAAGTATAAAGCTAGAAGGGTATTGAATGAAGAGAAGCAAATTAAGTAGCAGAGATGCGACAAGTTACCACAGTAGATGTTTTTTTTTTATAATGGATACGGAATGAATAAAAAAGAGACAGAAAATGTGAAAGCAGAGGATAAGGGTGACCGAGCTTTCTTTTATGATACGGCGAGAAAGAAGAACAAAATATTGCTTTATAATACTAATTTTTGGAGCATATTAAAATGTTTACAGAGAAGTTGAGTAAAACTTGAATTTACTTAAACAGTAAATATTTTAAAAACCAATTGATAAAATGGTTAAATACCGTATTATCGCATGTTTTACGGTTAAAAAACGTACAAATATAATTATTTCTGAAAGTATTCATTTTTAGATTCAAACGGGATGGTCAGCTGTTATCGTTTAGTCGTTGTTCTAAGACATTTTTGGTTGATACCAAATTAGACAGTTAATAATACATATATATGGATAGATAATTAACATAGAATATGCTTTTTTGGTGACCACCTTGCTATGAAAATTCCAAAGTAAGTTTAGGGGGTTAGGTTAGGTTTATGTTAGATTTATCGATCATGTGACTTGGCCGAATTTAAGATTATGGCTGAGAATTTTGTGGCCTAAGATACAAATATTTTCCCAATGAATGGCTTAAAGATAAGTCGTACCTTTTAGATGCATTTATACCACTTTAAGAGTATAATCGAAGAACCCATGGCTTAAATGTGTACTAGGTTATTGCATAACCCCATTGTATTGTATTATCAATTCACAAAATGGCAGCATAAGGGCAAATTGTGCTTTTTTTGATAAATATATACATAATACCTGTATAAAATAAACGAATTTGATTGGCTGACCCTTACGCTGCCATTTTTTGTTTATCATTGAACAGTTCAATGCAGAGGGGGTAAAGATACAATAACCTAGTATATCTAAGCCACGGAGGAACCCATACATCAGGTGATAACGGTGTACTATTGGATTAAAAAAAAAATGGGATTGTTCCTTATTTGGTTTCACCGTTGGATCGAAATCGCGGACTTGTACCGCTGGACAAACGAGAATAGGCTCAACTAAAGACAATAGTATGTAGGTCAGTCGGGTGGTTTGATCGCGTTGATGTGATTAAGCGGAGCCCGTCGGCTATGCAGATAGGCGTGAACTTGCGAATTAAAAGTTCCTACAGGATCGAGGTCCTGAATCGACTGTGCCGAATTACTGAGCCTAGTTGCCTAGTTTTCATTCTCGTCGTCCCCGTCCCTTTTTTATACCACCTTCGTTTATACTTACAAGTTTTGTATTGTTTATTCGTAATTCAGTTTAATTTCTGTACAATGTATCTGTACTTTTGGCCGCAGCCCGTTTTGTACCGTTTGCTATTCACCCTAATCACGCGTGTATCGCATCACCACCGCCATAGCCTGGTCAGGCTAGGCGAGGCCAAGTGCGGTGAGGACTTTTACACAGGTCTAGATGCTAGAATACGTACCCACGTCGTCGAAGTGGTGACAGGCTCCATGTCGGTCGGCGACGCCCTACGCGCGCCCGTCCCGGCAACGGCCGTGCCCCTATAAAAGCGTAAACCCGTGCTCGTGAATTAAACCGTGTGTCGACGCGATTAGGTCGAGGTCCACCAACAGGGTCTTGCGGCGGTGGCGTCCCGTCGACGGCGCAGGGACGATGGGACGATGGGACGATGGGACGATTGGACGATGGGACGACGACGACGACGGGTATATTTGTTTGACGGTTGACGACAACGACGTGTGTGTACCAAACTCGTCGACGGACCGACTGCTGTACGTGCGTGCTACTGCTGCTGCCGTCGCCGCCGCGGTGGACGTCGTCGCCGTCGCTGCCGGGCGGCCACCGGCGGCGTTTGCGCGCTTTTCGTCCCTTCGCCGCCCCGACTTTTGCGTATCTTCGGCCTTGCCGACGCCGCCGCCGCCGCCGTCCCGTTCTGCATCGCACGCCGCTATAACGATCGATTTACGCACGCACCGCCGCCAGCCCGCAGGGGCCTCCTCGCCCCTGCCCCGACCGAGAGCTGGGCGGCCCGCCGGCGAACAATGGGCAAAACGGCGAATAACCGTATGTCCACGGCGAATCACCGCATGTCGTCGCATACGGCTGTATTGAATGTGTACGCTGGATAATACAGAGTGATTGTAACAGCACACCACAGCTTTCGTTTAATGAAAGTTGTGCTATTCTTTTGTAGTCGCCCTGTATGACGCACGTTATAAATACTTCCTCTGACACCACAAATCCATAACAATTAGTCATTGTTTAACTAGCTGATAATGTGTTATGTTATGTTATGTTCATTTCCGTATAACAATAATAATAGTATAATCATTTCCATTGGATATGAAAACGATAATTTGGCGTCGACCCAAGCCGGTAATAGTAATTACCAAATCACCCATCGTTTGGTTAGCCGGGCTTGATCTTATGTATACATAGCTGACCATAATTAACAGCTGTCTGCGATCCTGCGAAAAGTGTCCAGATAATCAATTAATTTGTTTAGGTAAAGAAAAATGGCCGAAAATAAAATAATTATAATATGGTGACATACAAATAACGTGTTTAAAATTGTAGTTTTGTATTAGGGTTGGTCGTCCGTCTACAATCATTTGTTGACGTTGTACATCCATATACAGAGTGATCCATCTGTTGTAAGACACTCATTCTCTGGGAAAATATGAATATTTGCTATATTTTTCAATACTGTAAGAAAAGTGATTTGACGTTTTTATGTGTAAAATAATTTGTTTCAACAAACTTTATCACTTTTATCTATACCGTTTTAGTTTCTAAAGATTATTGCTGGTTTTTGACATTATAATAGGTTTCGAAATCAACAATCGATTTTAACATAAAACCACAACATAATACTGAAATCAATCTTGTAGTAAACTGAGGAAGTACCTAATTGAAGTATTATAAAAGAAACAAGAGAGAGAAAAAAAGGGTTGTCTACAAAAAAACCAAACTGACAAAGTAATATTAAAATAAAACGGGTCGATTGAAAGCAAAATAGTTTGTTCTTCACTCGTTTTCTCGACCAAATCATTTTTTTTTTAAGAACTATTGTTTTGGCAGATTAGTATAGTTTTTTTTTCATGGTTAAGATATACTTCAAATCTTAACAATAAAAACTGATGGGAAATAGAGTATTTTTTTTTAAGTATGCATTTGGTGGATAAAATTTATGTTTTCGACCAATTTTTAATATTTAAGAAAAAACATGTAGGTATATATTTTTATTGAGCTGCTTATCTTTAAATTATCACGTCGAATCGACGACAGTATGTGTTTTTGTTTTTCTGCCTGCAAGAAAAAATAAAACGGCGAAACTTTCCGGCATGTGAAATTTAGGTTTCATAAATATTTGTAGATTCTTTGAACAAAACAACCGAAAGTACTTGAAACCGTTATGCTTATAATATACTAAATTTTTTAAAAACATACAAAAAAAAAAACGTATGCATATTCAAATAACGGAGATGGCACTTGCAATGACAATTTGTGCTTAAAACTATATTTTTAGTATTAGGGTGGATGCGACATTAGGGTTGGTCGTCTGTCTACAAGAAATTGTAAGCGTTGTCCCCATAATATATTGTAGTGTTTGTCAAATTGTTAACAGTAAATATATTTTGTGTCTTATTGACAAGCTCATTGAAATGAGCTTAGAATCGACTTTCTATAATTTATGGTTTAAGAAAAAATTGAAAATTAAGAACAACCCTTGGGATTCTGATAACCAGTGGGCTTATTGGTTTGTATTGACATAAAATGAGAGCTCTAATTTTTTGAAAATGTTCCACTAACTTTTAATGTCCACGTGCAAGGCAAAATAATGGCCATTTTTTAAATTAACAAACCAATTTATTTTTATGTTATTGATATTCATAAGGAGTATAATACAAAAATAAAATTAAACTTTGTCTTGGTAGAATTTGATTTTCCTTTTGATTTAGGAGTAAAATGATATAAGCAATTCCCTATTCGGTGTAGCACCTGCTTGGAAGCGAGGAGCTGTTTTTCATTAAAGCTTTTAATAATAATTTGTTTTTTCAACAGCTTAAGTATAATTGTGTTAGGTATTTTATTACAGTAATCAATAAAATAATGTTTACATATTTTATTTTTTAGTTTGGTTAATAAAACATTAAATCTTGTAATAATGCGACGTGTACTTGACGTATACCTGCTACTACAATTAAAATATTTTCTAAATTTATTTTTAAAAAATAACAACCATTATTTAGGTTAATTTTTTTTTAGAATCAGTGTAATAAATATTTTATTCAAGTTTTAGTAAGCAAATTAAAAAATTGCATTCCTCTATTATTATATATGTATTGAGCTATGTTTCATTATATTATAGTAACTGTTAGTTATATACTTATAAGCTATATTTTACAACAGGTGAGTTTATGGAACTTTAATGTCACAAAAAAAAAATTGTTTGCTTGTGTAATTAATATGAGAAAGTAGTGTAGATTTGGTGTACAATATAACTGCTATTGAAGTTTATTGATAGTGTATATATTATAGATTACATTTTGATAGTAAAGTGCTGACTTATATTATACTTAATTATCTTTTAAGAAAAGCATATTTGTTTTGAAAAAAAGTGAGATTAATAATTAATCATTTTCCATAAAAGTGGCTGAAAAATGTTCTATATATATGTTTTTTTTCCTAATCGTAGATTTTGGAATAAAAATTCGACTTAAATTAGAGGTAACCAAGATATTTAGTACAGTGTAAGTCTGTTACATGTAAAATTGGTTTTATATGTATTCTAAGAGAAAAATAATTTTCAGAGACAAAACATATTGTGGAAACTTGAAAACAACAATTTGCATAAAGTTATTAGAACTAATAGATGTATATCGACCTTTATCGAAAAAAAATAAGTTGTTGTTCAGTGAAATATTTTTGCATAATATCAAGCATTTGTACAAATAAGAACAGTTACAACAACAACCGCAGAAAACACAAAAACAATTCCGTTTTAACAGTACATGAATAGATTTTTCATTTAAAACCTACCCATCGATAAAATATCGGTTTTTTATTTTATACTGTAAATTGAGAACCTTTTCTAAAAATACCACCCACAATATACGGTTTTGATAGTAAAAACCAAAACCAAAAAAAATATATAAGCAGTATGGTGCATTGTAAAAAAAAACCAAAATGTTTCAAAATATATATTATGTTATTTAACAAATAAAAGAGTATTGAATACATTTTTTTCTATTAGTCCCATAAAAATAAATAATAATATTACCGTTAAAAAGTAATCAGTACATCCTAAAAAATAATAACGGCTTTTGACATGTTTGAGAAGTTAATTATTATTTTCAATAAATTGCCAAAAAATAATTAATTATTTTCACTAATGCTTTTGATGCTGAGCTTTTATAGTGGGCCAAAATGTAAGTTATTTGAGGCTGGTGTTTTTTTGTCGTATGTCACAAAAAAGGGTTATGATAAAAATGTATATTTTTAAGTGAAAGTAATGTATTGCCATTCTTGATGGCGTAATTTTTTCAGGCTTTTAAGTCTAGATTCCTTTATTTGTAGAAACAAAATGGCGTTTACTTGTAGAAAAAATTGTACAAGTTAAAAATTATATCTTAAGACTTATACAAATTAACCGGAAAATAAACTGACATGGTCGAAATATATTAAAATCTCTTTTTTCTTAAATATTGCCTATAAAATATGATGTTTTATGTATATTTGTATAAAACCTCTTAAAATCTTCCTGAATTTATTCCCTTTAAAGTAATTTTTGAGCAATTGATATTTCCTAATTTGTATAAAATGCCCAATTTAGCTTTCTCTATACCAATTATAAGTGTATACTGTGAAAGGTCCTATTCAGTAATGCGTCGCATCCGTAGCTATATTCACTTAGTGATGTCACAAGTTAGATTTTCTAAGCTACCTGTATTATTTAAAAATAAAACAAAAGAATAAATTTTATCGAAATTCCAGTCTAAAATGTTATAAATTACATACTAGTCGATGAAAGGATTTCTTCTATAACAAAAAATGAGGTTTTTTTTAATGTTATATCACAATATTTATATTTGTATAATCCATCTTGTTAGCTAAACATTTATATTAATTTTTAAACATTATTTGAGTGATGTAGAAATAAATAGATAAAAAATCAATGGACCCAAAATATAATAATAATCAGAATCTTTTTAACGTCGGAGACTTAAAATAATTTAACTAGGTCAATGTTCCTCTTTTTTGGGGGTTTTCATAAAAAAAAAAATTTGATCAAAGATTTCATTGAGAAAATTGTATATGTTATAGTTCCATTCTAGATCTACCTTTGGCCTAATTACCCTGACCTAAATACTCAAAACTGCTTGAAAAAATGAAAAAAAAACTCTACTCCTTTTATTGTAAACCTTTTAAATTCCACACAAATTTGGAGTTAATTCGACTATTTTTAAGAAGAACGCCAAATGTTTACTAAAAATTATTAGATTGTATAAAAAATAATAATAAATTATTTAGTCGCCATAAAAATGTGAAAAATAATACAATAATTGAGGCGTGTCCTATATTTTCCCTGTAGTGGTCGTACAGTTTTAATATGTTGATGGAATTTTAAAAAAATATATATTTTGTAACACTTACATTGTCGGTTTTATTTTATATTTTAGTTAAATTAGTTTTAAGTTACAGTAAATATAAACAAGTGAATTTTAAACAGTTAACAAAATCGAAACTGTTAGAGATATGAACAAAACCGTCGTTTAACCAAAAGATTTCATA